AGAAAGATTGTGAAAAAATATAGCATTGGTTTTGAACAGGCCTAAAGATATTGATGAAGGCATCTTAATAAATGGAGTCAAGCTTAATAACCTGCGGTATGCAGATGATACAATAGTGTTTTCCAATACCATAGAACGGCTGCAAAGCTTAATGAACAAAATAACAGAAACAAGTAGAACCTATGGACTGGATATAAACACCAGCAAAACCAAGCTAATAATCATCAGCAAGCAAAACATAACTGGAGCAAATCTGTATGTAAACCAAATGAGAATTGAACGTGTCTCACAATACAATTACTTGGGAACTATAATCAATGAGTCGTGGGACAATACCCATGAGATTAAATGTCCCATCAAGAAGGCCAAAAGTGCATTCTTGGCTATGAGCTTTGTGTTCAAAAGCCATGACCTCACTCTGAAAACAAAAATAAGGCTTCTTAAATGTTACGTGACTCAGCGCTTCTGTATGGAGTAGAAACGTGGACATTGAAGGCGGAAACTTTATCAAAACTTCAGGCGTTTGAACTATGGTTACACAGAAGAATCCTGAAGATACCATGGACAGACAAAGTCACCGATGAAGAAGTACTGCGGAGGATGAACACAACCGCGGATTTGGCAACATTGTGAAGAGTCGTAAGCTGGAGTACTTGAGACATATAATGAGAAATCAAGGCAGATACTAGCTACTCCAATGCATTTTGCAGGGTAAAATTGAAGGAAAAAGAGCCCCAGGTCGAAGAAGAGTATCCTTGCTTGCTAACCTAAGAGCATGGTATAGAAAGAGCTCAACACAGCTATTTCGTATAGCAACCAACAAAACCATCAAAGCCAGAATGATCGCCAACGTTCGGAACGGACAGGCACCCTAAGAAGAAGAAGACGTATTCTAAATATACTATGTGGATATAAATACCACAAGCCACTTTTGATTATTTAGGAGTCAGACAACCGCATCAATAGGGGAGAAGTTCCTAGATAAAAAATATAAAATATTTTTTAATTGCAGTTCTATTCAACTATTTGTAACAGTCGTGTGAAAAGTTAAAATTGCCACGACATCAACCAAATTTCTTTGTATGTCACGATATTTTGGCATTATATGAATAAAGTTATCGTTAAATAAAAATATATAACGCTATATTATAGCAAAAATATTTTTATTTAATTTTAGACTAGTGTCAGGTTCTAGTTTTCATATGTATGTGAAAGGTGGCAGTTTGGTTTGTACAGAAAAAGTTGAGTGACAACTTCAGTAATAATAATTGACATTCTTCCTCTCAAATAGGTCGGGAAAATTATAATAAATATAATTTAAAAATTACCTATCGACTATTACCTTCGATTTTTTTTATTTTCCTTCCTTAGAATTTTAAAGCAGTTTATTTTGGAGCAAAGAAGTAATAAAATCAAAAAACCGACAATTAAATCTTGTATAAGATACGACTAATTAAAAATGACTAAAAACGTATTACCTTTGCTTAAAAAATGTAATAAATTCAAAAAAGAGGGATAGGGAAGCCTTTTCTTATTCAATGTTCCTTAGATTGCACTAAAGAAACTTCATACTTCGTCTAGAAATTTTTATATTATTTTTACTTATAAAAAAACACTTTACTTATAACGTATTTTAAGAATTAAAATTGGAAAATTTATGACCTCGGGAATATTTGAAAATTATATAAACAATTTTTTGGTTTATAGACATAAAGAATAACTCGGTTACTTAAAAAAACGGCATTCGAAAAGAGTTGGCGGGACACTTTAAAAAAAATTAAATTAAAAGCAGTGGTTCCTGAGATATAACCGGTCAAAATTGACCGGTGACCATCTGAGTTATAAACACTAGGATGATAATCTTTAGACAAATAGATTATTCTTTTGAATATCTCTAAAATATTTATAACATATAATAATAAAAACGAACGATATTACACGTTTAAAATTGCATGTGAAAAATACCAAAAAAAATAGGTTGCATAAAATTTAATTTTTAAGTTCAAAATCGGTGGTATACGTAAATAAAGTATTTTCTTCTGATACAGCGATTTTTTTTACTGTTTTTGAAGCGGGTTTAACTTAAATAGAGACACCTAAAGAACGCATCGCCAAATTCCAAAGATGCTTTAGTTTTGTTATAAATTATTTAATTTATTTATACGCCAGTGGTCAAAGTCGAAAATGCCACTAAACTCTAAAATTCATACGTAGGAGCTGAACTTTACTACTAAAGTTTACTACATTTTCCCCGGCTTTCCTCTAAATCCACCACCCTCGTAGGAGAGAAAAACCTAAAAAATCGATTTAAACAAAATTTTTTATTAGAACATTTTTGCAAAATAAACCGTTCTCTCAGAAACAACCCTTAAAGTGACATGCGAATATCAACTGCGTGCAC